TAAAAAAAAAACCTTTTTTTCTCAAATGCTCTGTGTTGGGGGGTTCAGGCTTTATTTTTCGATGTCCATCGAGGTGTCCTACCCAGCTAGGAGGCAGACTAGCCACTGTTTGCCTGCCGAGGCTCCGCCCTGCTGTTGTGTGATTCGCCCTGTTCCTGCAGGCTCTGCTGTGGTCTCCGCCATGCCCTGTGGCGGAGTCTCTTCGTTGTAGCGTGTTGCCTTGGCAACGGCAGGCTGCGTCAGCAGTGGGCGTGTATCTCAGTAGGGACGGGTTGCCTCGGCAACGGCTTGCTGCGTCAGCAATGGGCGTGTATCTCAGTTGGGGCGGGTTGCCTCCGTAGTGGTGGACGCCCCTCCCCCACAGAGCATCTCGGACCGTCTGCTCGGGATAGTTTGAAATCGCGGTTTTGTTCGTCCCACTGGGTACCCCTAACGCTCTGTCCCTGCAATCCCCTGGGCTGGCCTACTGTCCAAGTCTCGTTCAGTCTCAAGTCCAGCCCTCTCAAGTCTCAGGTTGCCGGTTCAACAGGGCACCCGGACAAGCGCGCCCTGTGGGGATTGCTGGGTAGGGCCAGCCGCCGCCGCCCCGGCTGCCGGCTTCGCCAGGCAGACATACTGCCTGGCGTCCCGTGTCTTTTTTATATTTGGGAGTTTCCCCGTTCTGTGGGCAACAAGGATCAGTCTGGAAATGCCGCTCCGACTCACCTCTTTGCGGATTCAACGAGAGTTCCAATCCTGGGTTGTTCTCACAGCGCCATCTTGAGTCCTCCCCTCGGTATTATTTCTTTAAATGTTTGATAGAACTCAGCAGTGAAGCCACTGGGTCTTGGCCTTTTCTTTACTGGGAGACTTTTTGTATGGCTTTGATCTCATTATTTGTTATTGGTCTGTTCAGGTTTCAGATTTCTTCATGGTTCAATCTTTGGTATGCTGTATGTGTTTCGAAGTTTGTTCATTTCTTCTAGATATTCCAATTTACTGGCATATAGTTGCTCATAGTAGCCACTAATGATCCTTTGAATTTCTGTGGTATTAGTTGTAATATCTCATTTTTGTCTCTGATTTTATTTATTTGAATCTTCTTCTTTTCTTAGCCCTGCTAAAAGTTTGTTGATTTTAACTTTTCAAAAAGCCAACTTTTTGTTTCATTGATTTTTTTTGTATTGTTTTCTTTATTTCAATTTCATTTATTTCTGCTCTGATCTTTATGTATTCTTTCTTTTTTACTAATTTGGGATTTGGTTTGCTCTTGTTTCTCTAGTTCTTTAAGGTGCATCATTAGATTGTTTATTTGCAGTTTTTCTTTTTTTGATGTCGGCACTTAACAGCTATAAACTTCTCTCTTGCTACTGCTTGGGCCATATTCCGTAGGTTTTGGTATGTTGTGTTTCTATTATAATTTGTTTCAAGAAATTTTTCAATTTCTTTCTTAATTTTTTCATTGGGCCACTGGTCATTCAGGAGCATGTTGTTTAATTTCCATGTATTTGTACAGTTTCCAAAATTCCTGTTATTTATTTCTAGTTTTAATCCATTGTGGTCAGAGAAGTTGCTTGATATTATTTCAGTTTTTTGAGTGTTTTAATACTTGTTTTGTGACCTGATGGTTTATCTTTGAGAATGATACAAGTACTAGGGAAAAGAAGGTGTATTCTACAGCCATTGGACGAAATGTTCTGTATCTATTAGGTCCATTTGGTCTATAACACGATTGTTTAAAGTCATTTTCTTTCTGACTAGCTGCCTCACTCATTATTTTCTGTTCTTGAAATTTGTGATACAAAGAATAACGTATAGCTGGCCAGGCATGTTGACTTATACCTGTAGTTCCAGCACTTTGGGAGGCAGAGGCAGGCAGATCACTTGAGGCCAGGAGTTTGAGACCAGCCTGGCCAACATGGCAAAACCACATCTGTACTAAAAATACAAAAATTAGCCAGGTGTGGTAGCGAACACCTCTAATCCTAGCTACTGAGGAGACTAAAGCACCAGAATTGCTTGAACCTGGGAGGCAGGAGGCAAAGGTTGCAGTGAGCTAAGATCATGCACTGCACTTCAGCCTGAGCAACAGAACAAGAATGTTTGGGAAAAAAAAAAAAAAAAGAACAATGTATAGCCAATCAATGTATAGCCTATGTTATTTATTTATTTATTTATTTATTTTCAAGATAGAGTCTCACTCTGTCGCCCATGCTAGAGTACAGAACAGTGGCTTGGTCTTGGCTCACTGTACCCTCCACCTCCCAGGTTCAAGCAGTTCTCCTGCCTTAGCCCCCAAGTATCTTCTCTGTAATTTTAAAGAACAGTATTCTTTTTGTTTGTATCAGTCATGCTCCAAAAGGTTTGCCTAGTGGTAGTATGGATGCTTTAATCTATTTTCTTGTTTACTCTGTATAGCTGTTATAGTAGCTTGAAATAGTAACTTAGATTTTTGTTTGTTTGGTTTTTTAAACAGCTTTATTGAGATATAATTCAAATATGATATAATGCACTCATTTAAAGTATATAGTTTAATGGCTTTTGTCCATTTTTTTTATCGTTACCACAGTCAACATTAGAACATTTTACCATCCTAAAACAAACCTCATACTCTTTCGCTATCACCCTATCCCCAATTCCCTTCCCACCACCAGACCTAGGCAACCACTAATCTACTTTCTTTCACTCTAAATTTGCCCGTTACTGACATTTCATATAAATGAAATCATAAAATATTTGGTCGGTTGTGCCTGGCTTGTTTTAGTTAGAATAATGCTTTCAAGGTTCATGTTGTAGCATGTATCAGTACTTCCTTTCTTTTTATTACTGAATGATAGCACATTGTATGGATATGCCCTATTTGGTGTGTTTGCTTGTTTGTTTCTTTTTTTGAAATGGAATCTCACTCTGTTGCCCAGGCTGGAGTGCAGGGTGCAACCTCGGCTCACTGCAACCTCCACCTCCTGGGTTTAAGCAATTTTCCTGCCTCAGACTCCCAAGTAGCTGGGATTACAGGCACCTGCCACCATGCCCAGCTAATTTTTGTACTTTCAGTAGAGACAGGATTTCATCATGTTGACCAGGCTGGTCTTGAACTCTTGACCTCAGGTGATCCGCCCACTTCAGCCTCCCAAAGTGCTGGGATTATAGGCATGAGCCACCACACCTGGCTAGATATACCCTGTTTGTTTATCCACTCATCTGTTGATGGCAATCTAGGTTGTTTAAATCTTTTAGCTGTTATGAATAATACTGCTATGAACATTTGTGTATAAGTTTTTGTGTGGACATATGTTTTCCTAGTTATATTGAATATATATACCTAGGGAGTAGAATTGCTGGGTCAAATGGCAACTCTATGGTTAACCATTTGAGGAACTGCCAGGCTGTTTTCCAAAGAGACTATACTATTTTACATTCCTGCCTGCATTTTACATTCCTTCCCATCCTTGCCAGCACTTGTTATTATCCATCATTTTATTCCAGCCATCCAAGTGTGTGCGAAGCCATATCTCATTGTGCTTTTGATCTTCATTTCCTTAATGACTAGTAATGTTAAGCATCTTTTCATGTGCTTATTGGCCATAACTTAGATGTATATAAGAATCAGAGTCTTGAACAGTGACCTATATGGAATTGGCTTTTAGAAGTCCAGATTCACTGGGTGGCTCATGTCTGTAATCCCAGCACTTTGGGAGGCTGAGGCAGGAGTATAGCTTGAGGCAAAGAGTTCAAGACCAGTCTGGGCGACATGTGAGACACCATCTCTACAAAAAGTAAATAATAAATTAGCCAGGTGTGGTGGTGTGCACTACTTAGGATGCTGAGGTGGGAGGATTGCTTGAGCTCAGGAGGTCAAGGATGTAGTGAGCCATGATTGTATCACCACAGCCTGGGTGACACAGTGAGACCCTGTCTCAACAAAAAGAAGAAGAAGAGGTCCAGACTCAATGGAAGGACTGAGAACAGGCCTAGTCATGGGGAAAATTAGATAAGATTGAAGTGAGTATAATATCATTGTCCAAGATACAGCCAAGAATGAGGAAATTTTAAGTTAATGACTGAATTAGTGAAGCAGGAGTCAAAATTTAAATATCAGGGATCAAAAATCAAGGAGTTTCCTAAATTCCTGGTATAATTTTAGCTGTTAAAGTTATACCATAACCATCAGTACAAGATCAAGGTAGGCCTGGCATGGTGGCTCATGCCTATAATTCCAGCACTTTGGGAGTCCGAGGCAGGTGAATCATCTGAGGTCAGGAGTTTGGGACCAGCCTGGCCAACATGGTGAAACCCCATCTCTACTAAAAATACAAAAAGTGGCTGGGTGTGATGGCTCACATCTGTAATTCCAGCACTTCGGGAGACCAAGGCAGGTGGATCACCAGAGGTCAGGACTAGCCTGGCTAATGTGGTGAAACCCCATCTCTACTAAAAATACAAAAATCAGCCAGGTGTGGTGGCATATGCCTGTAATCACAGCTACTTGAGAGGCTGAGGCGGGAGAATTGCTTGAACCTGGGAGGCAGAGGTTGCAGTGAGCCAAGATGGTGCCACTGCACTCCAGCCTGGGTGACAGAGCAAGACTCCATCTCAAAAAAAGAAAAGCAAAAATTAGCCAGGTGTGGTGACGGACACTGGTAGTCCCAGCAACTTGGGAGGCAAAGGCAGGAAAATCACTTGAATCCAGAGGGTGGAGGTTGCAGTGAGCCGAGATTGTGCCACTGCACTCTAGCCAGGGTGACAGAGCAAGACTTTGTCTCAAAAAAAAAAAAAAGACCAAGGTAAGCCAGATACTTGAGTCCATGGCAGTAATTAAAGCTGCTGTTATGTAGGGAGTTATCCTTGGCCCACTCCCTGACATGGAAGGCAAGAAGATGTGAGGCAGGCTAAGTATCCACATCTAATGCCAGGCCCCGGACTTAAGGAAGAAGAAGAAACCCAAGAAAGGTCCACATTGAGGAGGTAAAATAAATTTTAACTGTGTTCAGATGTGTCTAAACTGAAATTTACTTTTATAGAAACTATAATGAGAAACATCACCAACACAAAATCAAGCTTCAAGAAGTCAAGTATCGTTTAACTAATGAAGTAGAACGACGAGATAAGAGAATTAACCAATTTGAAGATGAAATTGGAATCCTGCAACATAAAATAGAAACGGTGAGGAAAAAGTAAAAGGTGAAGAGCTCACTGGTGATTCCCATGGTCACCCATTTGGAGAAAGCCTTTTCATTTTAAAAATTGTTTGTGGCCCCTTCATAGTCCTTGTTTTCATTTCTTTTCTTTGAACCATCTTTCGATGAGTAATTCTTTAAGCCCTGACCAAAAGTATGTAAGACTCCTAGTGCTGCTAAACTGAATCGAGTACTGAAAATATTCTGTACTGCCAACTTACAATCAATGTCTTGCCTTCAAATGGAAATGCCTTTTCTTAAACACCCCGAGCACAGACTTCCAAACCACTCTCAGTAACTCATTTCTGCTTTGTAGAGCCCTCATTCAGTGTTAGTTTTAAATGGTGGTGAAAAAGATGATCCTTACTCCTTTATCAATCCTTCCGTCAAGCTTTTTTCTAAATACCCATGGTTTCTTTATGCTTGTCTTATTGCCCTTGTGACATAGTAGTGTATGAATAAGAAGAAAATGGGACAGATGAATAGAATCAAATGCAGAATGGTTGTGGGATTATTAAACCACATAAATTCAAGACAGAGAGTAACTGACTGGTTTTCCCTTCTTGAGATCTGAGCTCTTTCAGAATTTTGAAAACTCTATTATCACTCCTAAAAATACTCATTTCCACACCCAACACATTTTTATACCACCACTATGTGCCAAGGATACCATAAACATTTATGTAATTTCAGTGATTCCATAAACTATCCTGGGACTCCACGTCAAGAATTCCTTGACTATACATAGCAAAGCATTTTTGGAGTATAATAGGTATGTCACAAATATTACATTCTTAGTTTTAAAAAATTGGCTGGGTGCAGTGGCTCACACCTTAATTGCAGTACTTTGAGAGGTCAAGGCAGGAGGATTGCTTGAGGCCAAGAGTTCAAGGTTACAGAGAGCTATAATCGTGCTTGTAAATAGCCACTGTACTCTAGCCTGGGCAACATAGAGAGGCTCTGTCTCTAACAAAAATATAAAATAAAAAAATCCTCTTGATATTCTAAACTATAGTGAGAGAAGAAAAATAAGTTGGATTTTTGCAGTATCCTTTTTTTCGCTATTAATTTGTCAAACATTTGGAGACTGAGATCCAGCTTAGAACTAGAAAAAGACAATGTTAAGTATATAAGAAAAAGTAGCAATCCATTTTAGTAGCAACCATGGGCAAAAAAAGGAAGAGGAAGAGGAGGCTGGATGTACTGATTCATGCCTGTAATCCCAGCATTTTGGGAGGCCAAGGTGGGCAGATCACCTGAGGTCAGGAGTTCGAGACCAGTCTGGCCAACATGGTAAACGCTGATCTCTACTAAAAAATACAAAAAGAAATGAGCTTGGCATGGTGGCAGGTGCCTGTAATCCTAGCTACTGAGGAGGCTGAGGCAGGAGACTAGCTTGAACCCAAGAGGCGGAGGTTGCAGCGAGCCGAGATAGTGCCATTGCACTCCAGCCTGGGCAACAAGAGCGAAATTCCATCTCAAAAAAAGAGAAGAAGAAAGAAAGGGGAAAAAGTAGCAATCCTAGTTCATGGGTCCAGCAGATATATCTTCAGCCTGTTTCTTTATTACTAGTTCTTTCTCATACTTTTGCATTTTACTTCTAGGCTGGAAAAACAGCCTTTCAGCAGGCATGCTAGCTTTCTTCCTGATTATACTGGGTTGAATAGTGTTCACCCAAATTCATGTCCTAGAACCTTAGAATGTGACCTCATATAGAAATAGGGTCTTTGCAGATATAATTAGTTAAGATGACATTATCCTGAATTAGGATGAATCATAAATCTAAGATGATTCCTATCCTTATAGGAAGAGGGAAATACATACAGACAGACACAGACAGGGGAAGAATGCTTCCTGGTGATGAAGTCACAGACTGGAATGATACAGCTACAAACTGAGAAATAGCAAGGGTTGCTGGCAACCACTAGAAGCTAGGAGAAAGGCATGCAGCTCAGTCTCTCTTGTAGCCCTCATAAGTAATTAACCCTGACAACAATGTGATTTCAGAGTCCTAGCAGTCAAAACTATGAGAAAATGGGTAGAAAACTAATATATCTACCCAAAGAACCACAGGTCTTCATAAAATATGCTGGAGATCCCAAATAAGCAGTGAGGCTGAGAGAGTAATTGGACCTTTTGCTCATTGCCATTGAAGGGTACTGTGGGCTTTAGCCTTAGATAGACTTGGATTCAAATTCTAGCCCTGCCTGTGACCCTGGACAAGTCTCTGGGTATCACTCCTCATCTGTAAAATGAAGGACATAATCCCCACCTTACATGCACAAGGCTTTTGTGAGTATTAAAACATAAAATTTCTAAAGTGGTACCTGGCGCATGTAAATTTTTCACAGATGTCATTTTCCTTTTTTTGGTATATAATCTCTTAGAAGGGCCTGAGAAGCATGTTAATCGGTGGATTGGTAGTTCACATGAGAAATTGTTAACAGAATTAGAACTACTTAGCCCAGAGAAGACTGATGTTGAGAGCTCTTAATGCCAAAGCGGAGCAAACCTAGGGATTCTTATTTTATGACCCAAGGACCAGAGCACTGAGAATAAAAATGCCAGGTTAACTTTCTGAGTCTTCAAAGAGTAATGCCACTTCTTTTGGCTTCATTACGTCAGCTTTTTCTTTATATAAGGAGCCAATTGAGCCTTCTGTTGTGACCACTCTAACTAGACTTTCCCATTTTATCCTGTTTTCATAACATGTGTCTGGAATTTTTGCTTGTTTTAAAAAATACAGTATTTCCCAAGGACAAGGTGTCAGTTCCTTTCCTCATGCAGTGCACTTTTTAATCCAGTTATATCTGTCTAGGGTTTATCTGTGGGATGATTGCTTCTATTTCTCGATCCTTACCAATACATTGTTAATTAAATGTCTTTAAATTATAGCAGGTGAGACTACCATTAGATATTGTAGGGTCTTGGAGAAGGATTCTAAAATCTGGAATAGTTTTTTTCAGAACATAATCTGATCTACATCCTATAGGTCTTTAATAATAGATGGCCAGCCAGGCAAGGTGGCCTATGCCTGTAATCCTAGCACTTTGGGAGGCTGAGGCAGGTGGATCACCCGAGGTCGGGAGTTTGAGACCAGCCTGGCCAACATGGCGAAACCCCATCTCTATTAAAATTTAAAAAATAAGCTGGGCATGGTGGCAGGCACCTATAATCTCAGCTATTCAGGAGGCTGAGGCAGGAGAATTGTTTGAACCCAGGGGTCAGAGGTTGCAGTAAGCCAAGATTGTGCCACTGCACTCCAGCCTGGGTGAAAGAGCAAAACTCTGTCTAAAATAACAATAATAATAGATGGCCAGTCTTTTCTGAATGACCTACATTAGTATCTTATTTAAAAGAAACATGTAGGCTGGGCACAGTGTCTTATGCCTGTAATCCCAGTCCTTTGGGAGGCTGAAGCAGGAGTGTATTTTGAAGCCAGGAGTTCAAGACCAGCCTGGGCAACAGAGCAAGACTCTGTCTCTACTATTTTATTTTATTTTTTATCTTAAAGAAAATTCTTTGAGACAGAGTCTCATTCTGTCACCCAGGCTAGAGTGTAGTGGTGGGACCCCAGCTCACTGCAGTCTTGAACTCTACACTTGGCTTTTTGTGTGTGTGTGTGTGAAGATGGAGTCTCACCATGTTAACCAGGCTGGTCTCAAACTCCTAAGCTCAAGCAGTCCTCCCACTTTGTCCTCCCAGAGTACTGAAATTACAGGTGTGAGCCATGGCACTTGGCCTCTGACCCTACAAAAAATTTAAAAATTAACCAGGTGTGGTAGTTCATGTATGTAGTCTAGCTATTCAGGAGGCTGAGGCACATGATCATTTAAGCCCAGGAGTATGAAGTTACAGTGAACCATGATTGTACCACTGTGCTCCAGTCTGGATGACAGAGCTAGATTCTATCTGTAAAAAAAAAAGGCAAAACAACAGCCGGGTGCAGTGGCTCATGCCTGTAATTTCAACACTTTGGAAGGCTGAGGTGGTCAGATCACTTGTGATCAGGAGTTTGAGACCAGCCTGGCCAACATGGCAAAACCCTGTCTCTATACTAAAAGTATAAAAATTAGCTGGTTGTTGTGGTGGGCACCTGAATCCCAGCTGCTCGGGAGGCTGAGGCAGGAGAATGGCTTGAACCCAGGAGGCAGAGATTGTAGTGAGCCGAGATTGTGCCACTGCACTCCAGTCTAGGTGACAGAGCGAGACTCTGTCTCGAAAAAAAAAAAAAGAAAAAGAGAGAGAGAAACATGTAAAGTTGACTTTTCCAGTCTGCCAGAGATTGTTCCTCACTGCTGTCAGGCAAGGAACAAACACAAAAGTGTAGGCACTTGCCTGTTACCGTTGACAGGTCATTAGTGAGTGGAACTGGCAATTCTACACCTTTGAGCTCTAAACCCCTCACTAAAGGTAATATTTATTAGTATCTCCTGACTATATATAAGAATATTAGTGGTTTTTCACAAAATGCACTCCTTTATCATTTTAGCTGTACCTTCAGTAGCTATTGCTTTGGGGAAAATCATTGGTAGAAAATAAAATATGGTATTAGGCTAGAAATCATTTCAGCATTATCACTGCAAGAACAGTCTCACTGGCTGGGCGCAGTGGCTCACGCCTGTAATCCCAGCACTTTGGGAGGCTGAGGCAGGCGGATCACTTGAGGTTGGGAGTTCAAGACCAGCCTGGCCAACATAGTGAAACCCTGTCTCTATTAAAAATACAAAAATTAGCTGGGTGTGGTGGTGGATGCCTGTAATCCCAGCTACTCAGGAAGCTGAGGCTGAACCCGGAAGCAGATGTTGCAGTGAGCTGAGATTCCGCCACTGCACTCCAGCCTAGGTGACAAAGCAAGACTCCACGTCAAAAACAAAAACAAAAACAAACAAACAAAAAGCATAATCTCACTACTTCCAGGGTCATGAAAAAGAAAAAATATATATGACATAAAATAACCTCTCGAAAATTGAAAAACTAGCTACGATGAATGACAATGTCAGCAAACAGGTAGAAACAGACGAGAGGAAGGAGAAAACAAAGTAAATAAAGGAAAATATCTTCTAGATTTAGAAACAGGCTGGTGCTCTTAAATTTATAATTCTTTATCCTGCTATAGTAATTAGGAGACTTTCTAATCCCTAGGAGAAGGCAATACAGGACCAGATCACTGCCCAAAATGATACCCTGATTTTAGAAAAAAGGAAACTTCTGGAGCAAGTCATAGAGCAAGAACATTTGATCCACAGCAACAAATGTACAATATCTTCAATCCAAAGCAGGTAGGTGCCATCCTGCCTGGGAGCCAATAAACTCCACAAGAGGATGTTTCTCCCTCAACAAAGAGCTGGTTCTACAGACCGTCCTTTGAGTTTGTAGCCTACCCTGTAACTCGCTCTCTGCTGTCCGCTGTTTTCAGCAGATCATACAAGTGGCAGAAATTGTTAAATTATAGAGAAAAATATCATGGACGAGGCTGTTGGCTATTTAGATAGGCTGTTTCATAATGTCATTGCCTCACTGAGAACTTGGCTGTGTGCATTCTGGCCTGTCATTTTGTGTGTGTTGGCCTACGTTTTTATTCTTTGATACCTGTGGAATCAAGGTAGAACAAGAGAGAATCTTGCAGAAGTAACTTAAATTCATGAAATCCACAGGATACCAGTGGGTTAATTTTTAATGACAAATATTATAAGCAGAAAATAAGCCATATATCAGCCAGCCTGAGCATTCTCTTTTTCATAGGAGACTTTATTGAATTATAATCAAAGAGAGTGGGTTGATATTAACAGATAATGTCACCAATAATAACTGGAATGATTAAGATTTGTCTGAGCAACTACTATATGCTAGGTACTGTTCTAAGCTCTTTCATTGATTTAATCCTGACACCAGTCCCAGGAGAGAGGCACTATTAGCCTTATTTTATGGATACGAAGCCAAGGTTTAGAGAGGCGAGCGAACTCACCCAGCCCAATCGGTGACAGAGCAGCATGTGGACCTCAGCAGCCTGGCCCTAGACCATAGCACCATAGCCTGGGGAGAGTCTGCCAAGCAGACTGGAATGTTGTTGTCCACTGCTTTGGGCACACTCCTCTGGGCAGGCCTGGAGAATCTCTGAGGATCTTTTACTCTCTCTGTCTCCCCTTTTAGATGTCCCATATAAATCATTGCTCTTCTCAAACTGTCATAGCTTCTGACAGTCAGCACCCAACACAATTAACTCATTACCTTTGCATTAATGTTAATAATCTTTCTATCTTGCCTACTGATGACACAATCACCTGGATTGGACTTGAATGTTTTCCTTAGAGTAAGTTTCTTCCAAGGAATATTTCCTCATTTTATGGCTAAGAAAACTGAAGCTCAAATTTGTCACAACAATGTATGTCATCAGGTTGCTAGCATATTAAATGAGCTAATACATGAAAAGTTTTAAGGGCTTATGTGTGGGTAGGTTATATTGCATAAGTCCATGGCAAGGACTTGAAACATGGTTGCTGCTTCTGCTGCTGCTGCTATTTCTACATCACAAGAAATCAGAATCAGATCAGTATGAGAAGGGAACCAGATACAAGCTATGTAACTACCATATTTGAAGGGATACAGAGTCTCTCTTGTTTCATTCCCACCCCTAAATGGGATCATATCCTACCTTACATTTTTCAAGGGCTAGAATTATGCCTTTAATACTCTTATACCTGTATTTAATAACCATGTAATACAGCCCAAAAGCTTATTAACTTTTACTTGGTGTATTAGTCAGGGTTCTCTTAGAGGGACAGAACCAATAGGATATATATATATGTATGTATGTTTGTGTGTGTGTATATATATACACACTTAATAAACTCCCCTATATAGATATATAAGGGGAGTATATATATAAAGGAGAGTTTATTAAGTATTAACTTACACAATCACAAGGTCCACAATAGGCTGTCTGTAAGCTGAGGAGCAAGGAGAGCCAGTCTGAGTCCCAAAACTGAAGAACTTGGAGTCCTATGTTCGAGGGCAGCACAGGAGAAAGATGTAAACTGGGAGGAGACTAGGCCCATCTCTCTTCCACGTTTTTCTGCCTGCTTTATATTCGCTGGAAGCTGATTAGATTGTGCCCACCAGATTAAGGGTGGGTCTGCCTTCCCCAGACCACTGACTCAAGCGTTAATCTCTTTTGGCAACACCCACACAGACACACCCAGGATAACACTTTGTAACCCTCAATCCAATCAGGTTGACACTCAGTATTAACCATCACACTTGGTCTTGGAATATGGTGGGAATTATTCTGGCAAACTTGCTTCTAAAATCTGGACAGTGGTCTAAGATCTAGGAATTTTGGGTTTTTAGTAATGATACAAAAATTTCTAATCATGCCATTGATTTATGCCATTCTTAGGGTACTTCACATGGATAAAGAAAATAAGCAATTACATGAAAATAGTATTCATCTCACACAGCAGATTCGCTTCTTAGAGCGAATTATAAGGAGCATTCATATTCGCAGAGGAGAGGTAAGACATGTGCTTCCTATTGGGCCTTTAATGTGAAGTTCAGGTTGCTACAGCTGCTGTGCTGTCTCTTCCCTTCATCTTTATATAGCTGTAGCCCTACTCTTGGCCTCATGGTAGGCTGTGGCAAAGAGGCTTTTGGCTGCACACCAGGATAGCAGACCCTGAGACTGCTCTTGATCAGCTTTGCTCTTCATTGGGCCAGATTTTAGTAAATTATCTCCTCCTATGTGATCTCCAAGATTTTTGTACATATGCCTCACAGCTTTTTCCTTAATACACTGTATTGTCACTGCCCTTTTTCTTCTCTATCTCATTAACTCAGCAGTGAGATCCTGGAGGGCAAGGATTTTATCCATATATCACTGCATCTATGGACAAGTACTCCATAAATATTTGAGAATGAATAAATATTCAGTGTTTCGACATGTGTGCCTCATTCTCAACAGCCCTGTTTGCCATGTATGATTCTAGCCCTATCTGAAAGATGAGCAAATCTGAGGCTCAGTGAAGTAATGCAAAGTTTGCTATGGCAAAGAGTCAAGCCTAAAGAGCATCTGAGTGAAAGAAAAGCAATTATTTTCCAAAAGTCTAAGCAAACAAGTGGCCAAATGCAGACAGATGCAGAAAACAGTACAGGTTCAGACCAGATCCATCGTCTGCCTGGTAAGCAAGTCAGCAATAGGGACTTCAGTGAACAGAATCGTATCCTGAAACCAAGATAGAGGCTGATTACTTTCTTCTCTGGTTTATATCACCAACTAGATGCTTCTTCCCAAGACACTTAACAGTAGATCCTGCTTGTTGATCACTGTTGCTATAAGACCTACATCTTGTTTGGTCTCTGAGAGGTAATTATTTACAAGCTATGTGAGGTTTTTCTTGTGTTTTGTTTTTTGCCAATTTTGTCAAAGTACAACTGCCAAATTATGTGGCTTGATATCCAGTAATTTATAGTTTTCCTTGAGCTACAATTGTTTTCAATCGTCTAGTCATTCATTCTTTTACTTATTTATTCAACAAATACTTACCAATTCCAGGAAATAGCCTAGGTCCTAGGAATACAAAGATAGTCCCTGTTTTCAGAAACCTTTGGTTTAGTAGAGAAGGATAGACGCTTTGTAAATAAATATAGTGTTATAAGTGCTGAGTTATAACTTAATGGAATATGTTCTGGGACCAATAGCTTTGAAATCCATATTTTTACCCTTGAATCAAGGTAAGAAAGGTCACATAAGTCAGAGCTATAGCATATGAAACTCAGTATTCCATATGTATCAAAGGTACCAACTTCTAACATCTTGATACCTATTAGAATAAATAACCAAATTGTTTTTATACTTAGAATCTTAAGGCGTTTCCTGTTCCAAAATGGTGGCATAGAGGCAAGCTGGCTTCTCTCCTCCCAACAAAAAGAGAGAAAGAAATATACAGCACTGAGGTCGTCACCAGCAATAATGCAGAGCTCCAGCATGAGGATGAGTCCATTCCTGAGGTCATAGAGAAGTGGAAACACTCTGAGCATATGGTAGGAGAATAGAACTTCCACATCTGTAATACCCTTCCCCCTATTCTGCCAGGCACCCACTGTTTGGAAAATCTCTCTCAACTTATAGTTTCTACACTGGAAAAAGTAAAATTGAGTAGTCAAACAGATTCCCCACTTTCTGGGGTTCCCTAGCCAGAAACCTGTCCTTGCCTTAACCCATGGGTAGTATCACAACTTCCTGAAGGCAGAAATATCCCTGAAGACAGGCATATCCCTGAAATATCCCTGAAACAGAGGAGGTGGGACTCTGCTCTGTAACTCAGCCAAAGGAGACATAAGAGTAGCTGTAGGAAGTATGTCCCCCAGGTCCCCTGGGCATGAACCCCTGGACAGCCTTCCCAGGATAATCCCCTTGGGACCTCCCCTATTTGGGACAGGCAGTGCTCTGACCATTTACTAGAGCCAAGATGAACCTGGGCTTAAGGTGCCACCTAGAGCCCAAAAGGAGGCAGTGATCTAGCATTAAATATTCAACCGGCTACAGTGGTTCATGCCTGTAATCCCAACACTTTGGGATGCCGAGGCAGGTGGATCACCTGAGGTCCAGAGTTTGAGACCAGCCTAGCCAAACATAGTGAAACCCTGTCTCTACTAAAAATACAAAAAAATTATCTGGGCATGGTGGTGTGTGCCTGTAATCCCAGTTACTCAGGAGGCTGAGGTAGGAGAATCACTTGAACCTGGGAGGCAGAGGTTACAGAGAGCTGAGATTGAGCCACTGTACTCCATCCTGGGTTACAGAGCGAGACTCCATCTCAAAAAAATAAAAATAAATAAATACAGGGCATGGTGGCTCACGCCTGTAATCCCAGCACTTTGGGAGACTGAGGTGGGTGACTCAAAAGGTCAGGAGTTCGAGACCAACCTGGCCAATATGGTGAAACCCCATCTCTATTAAAAATGCAAAAATTAGCTGGGCATGGTGGTGCATGCCTGTAGTCCCAGCTACTTGGGAGATTGAGGCAGAAGAATTGCTTGAACTCAGGAGGTGGAGGTTGCCATGAGCCAAGATCATGCCACTGTGCTCCAGCCTGGGTGACTGAGCAAGACTTCATCTCTAAATAAATAAATCTAAAAGGTCACCAAGTAGTTGAATGGATAAAGAAACAAAACCCAACTATATGCTGCCCTCAAGAAACCCATCTCACCTATAAAGACACATAGAGACTGAAAATGAAGGAGTGGAAAAGATATTCCATGCAACTGGAAACCAAAGAAGAGGGGGAATATAGCATATTTATATCAGATAAAATAGACTACAAGTCAAAGACTAAAAACAACAAGGAAGGTAACCTATATAAAGATAAAAGGGTCAGCTGTGTGCAGTGGCTCATGCCTATAATCCCTGTACTTTGGGAGGCTGAGGCAGGTGGATCACCTGAGGTCAGGAGTTCAAGACCAGCCTGACCAACATCAAGAAACCCTGTCTCTACTAAAAATACAAAATTAGCTGGGTGTGGTGGTGCATGCCTGTTGTCCCAGCTACTCAGGAGGCTGAGGCAGGAGAATTGCTAGAACACAGGAGGCGGAGGTTGCAGTGAGCCAAGATCACGCCATTGCACTCCGGCCTGGGCAGCAAGAGTGAAACTCCATCCCCCTCCCCCCCCCAAAAAAGATAAAAGGGCCAGTTCAGCAAGAGAATATAACAATTATAAATATCTATGCATCCAACACCAGAGCTCCCAAATACAATAAGGCTAACATTAATAGACCTCAAGTGAGAGATAGACTGCAGTACAATAATAGTGGGGACTTTAACATCCAACTCTCCACAATGGGCAGATCATCCTAACAGAAAACCAACAAATAGTGGAGTTGAACTACACACTAGACCTAGTAGATCTAACTGACACTTATGGAACATATCCACCGTTGAAGATTACACATTCTTTTCATCAGCACATAGAACATTTTTCAGAATAGACCATACCTTAGACCACAAACAAGTCTGTACAAATTCAAAAAATAGAAATCGTAACAAGTATCTTCTTTGAACACAATAAAAAGAAACTAGAAATCAGTAACAGGAAAAACCTTGGAAACTATACAAGCACACATGGAAATGAAACAACATATTCCCAAACGACCAATGGGTTAATTAAGAAATTAAGATTGAAAGTTTAAAATATATTAAAACAAATGGAAATGGGAATACAAAAATCTATGGGACATGATAAAAGCAATATTAACAGGTAAGTTTATAATAATAAACACCTATATCAAAAAAAGTAGTCTTTAAATAAACAACCTAAAGATACACCTCAAGAAACTAGAAAAGCAAGAAAAAACCAAACCCAAAATTGATACAAGGAAAGAAATAATAAAGATCAGAGCAGAAATAAATGAAATTGAGATTAAAAGAACAACACAGGCCAGGCGCAGTGGCTCATGCCTGTAATATCAGCACTTTGGGAGGCTGAGGCAGATGGACCACGAGGTCAGGAGTTTGAGGCCAGCCTGGCCAATATGGTGAAACCCCGTCTCTACTAAAAATACAAAAATTAGCCAAGTGTGATGGCACATGCCTGTGGTGCCAACTACTCAGGAGGCTGAGGCAGAATAATTGCATGAACCGGGGAGGCAGAGGCTGCAGTGAGCCAAGATCACGCTACTGCACTCCAGCCTGGGTGACAGAGTAAGACTCCATCTCAAAATAAAATAAATTAAATAAATTAAAAACAAGAGAACAGTACAGATCAATGAAACAAAAAGTTGGAGTGTTTTTTTTTTAAAGAAAACAAAATCAACACGCCTTTAGCTGGACTAAGAAAAAAAGGGAGAAGACCCAAATAAATAAATAAGAAATGAATATGTCCAAAGTAGGATGATGAAAAAAAAGGAAGAAATGAAAAAGGAAACATAACTGAGATCTTAGAAATACAAAGAATCATTAGAGACTATTATGAATAACCATATGCCAACAAATAGGAAAACCTAGAAGAAATGGATAAATTTCTAGAAACATACAACCTACCAAGAATGAACCATGGGGAAATAGAAAACCTCAACAAACAAATAATGAATCATGAGATCAAAGCCAAAATAAAACATCTCCCATCAAAGAAAAGCCCAGAATCTTCTGGATTCACTCCTGAAGTCCACCAAGTATTTAAAGAATGAATACCAGTCTGACTCAAATTCTTCCAAAAAAATAAGGAGGACAGAATACTAAAAAACTGATTAAATGAGGCCACCGTTACCCTGATTCCGAAACCAGGTAAGACTTTAAAAAGATCATTCACCATGATCAAGTAAGATTTGTTCCAGGAATACAAGGTTGGTTCAACATATGCAAATCAACAAACATGATACACCACATTAATAGAATGAAAGACAAAAACCATACAATCATCTTATTAGAAACAGAGAAAGCATTTGACAAAATTCAAATCTTTTCATGATAAAAACTCTCAAAAGATTAGGTTTAGAAGGAATATACCTCAATACAATAAAGGCAAGATATGACAAGCCCACAGCTAACATTATACTCAATGGTGAAAGTTGAAAGCTTTTTCTCAAAGATTAGGAACAAGGCAAGGATGTCTACTCTCATCATTTCTATTTCATATATACTGGAAATCTTTGCCAGAGCAATCAAGCAAGAAAAATAAATAAAAGACATCCAAATAGGAAAGGAAAAAGTGAGTGATGCTTAAGATTACATTGACCAGGAGAGAGATCCAAGATGGCCGTCTAGCAGCAGCTCAGGGTTGCAGCTCCCAGTGAAAGCACAGGGAGAGAGTGGACGCCAGACTTCCAGATGAATTTTTGTTGCTTACAGACCAGGAGATTCCCAGCAGAGGAGCCCCATGGGTTACCAGCATAACTCTTTTGGCCGGCGTGGCTGTTTGGCTGGTGTCCTGGCATGGCGGTTCTCTGAGGAGTGTGCGGGACTGGGTGCCCTTTTAGTTGGCATTTGGAGCTCCAAGAAGGCAGAGTCACCCATTCAGCTGATTGGGAGGAGGACTGAGGCTGGGAGCCAGACCGGGAGATTCCCAGGCAGAAAAGTGCCACGAATCTCAGAACCACCATTTCAGCAAGCTTGGTTGCCGCACAGGGAATTTCAGCTAGATCCTGGTGCCTTTTCAGCGGGCGACTGGGGGACCTGGGAAAGAATCGACCGTTAAATTAGGAAAAGAAAAAAAGGGGGCTCTGGGACAGGGAGCCAGGAGATCTGGCTCAGCTGGTCCCACCCCCACAAAAAAAAAAAAAACAGCAATTGGAAAGAAACACTGATGGTTGAGAGTTTCACAGCAAGCACAGCTGAACCCGGGAAGGTCCAGCTCTGTGGGGGAGGGGTGTCCACTGAAGGAAAACAAAGAAACAGAAATAACATCATCACCAACAAACTGGACATCCACTCAGGGACCCAATCTGAAAGTCAGCAATTACAAAGACGACAGGTGGATAAATCCACAAAGATGGGAAAAAACCAGTGCAAAAAGGCTGAAAACATCCAAAATCAGAATGCCTCTCCTCCTTCAGGGGATCACAGCTCCTCATCAGCAAGGGAACAAGGCCTGATGGAGAATGAGTGTGATGAATTGTCAGAATCAGGCTTCAGAAGGTGGATAATAAGAAACTTCTGTGAGCTAAAAGAACATGGACTAACCCAATGCAAAGAAACTAAGAACCTTGAAAAAAGGTTTGACAAAATGCTAATGAGAATAGACAATTTAGGGAGGAATATAAGTGAATTAATGGAGCTGAAAAACACAATATGAGAACTTCACAAAGCAAGCACAAGTTTTAACAGTCAAATTGATCAAGCAGAAGAAAGGATATCAGAGGTCGAAGACCAACTCAATGAAATAAAATGAGAAGACGAGATTAAAGAAAAAAGGATAAAAAGGAATGAGCAAAGTCTCCAAGAAATATGGGACTATGTGAAAAGACCTAATCTACATTTGATAGGTATACTTGAATGTCATGAAGAGAATGAATCCAAGCTGGAAAATATTCTTCAGGATATTATTCAG